CGCCTATGTATTGCCACACACGTATAAGTGTACTTAGCTTCTGCTACATAAATAAGCCGGCCGACATAATACACATGCAATACGTGATAAGAGTCCTGTCAGTGGTCTTCGACTGGTAACTGAATCAGTTGGGTGTCACCGCTCGTTTGCAGCTCACCTCGCGTATTTTGCCAGTGTTTCATCAAATTACGTAAAAGTCGATCATGCGAATCGCGTTATCGATTGGAAGGACGCGATAAGAAAATAATATCTCATGTGAAAACACCTAATGGCGTACAATCATCATTATTATTCTGGTAAATACAAGATAAAAAAATGTTGTCTGTTATTCTGAATACCTCCTGTTCCACATATATATACATATTTTGTTACGTAATTAGCTTGCGTAATGGAACTCCTGGTCATTAAATACAATTAGGTCTGTGTAGTGTCTAATTGTAATCTAATGTACACAGTGTTAAGGATACTTTCATAATAACCACACCTGTCTTATCTCCGCAGATAAGACAAGCCGGGCGGAAACTTTGATCTACCATTTGCCCTGATGGACTAACAACATACTATCAGAGATATATTCAGATTGTCTGGTAGTTAAATCGTTCGTTAAAATAAATTACATTGTAATTCAAATTAATATCTCGAGATTTCATGTAAACTGTATTATCATAAGTATCCTTTAAAATAAATTTAAAAAAATGCACGTCTAAATGCACATTTTTTTTATCATACAATTGTAATAATGATTACAGCAACGAACCTCATGAAATAATTTAAATACTAGCTACTGCAAAAATATCCTAAGTATCTGTGAAAAAGAATTTAAAAAATATACACTGAAAGAAAAGATTGGCTGATTAGAAATGGTAAAATATGGCATTTTTAATTGGTTGCAGCAGTCAATTAAAAATGCTATGCCATATTTTATCATCTAATTTGCTGCAGCAGCCAATCTTTTCTTTCAGTGTGCTCACTTGAATTCACAGATAATTTGGAAATAGGGAGAAAAATCTGGAAATTATATTTTTCGACTCCGAGATTTCTCGTATCAGCTGACACACGGGGTTAAACAGTGCCATCTCGTTTGAGACGGCTATCAATGTACGTACATGTTGTATCTCTCTGCAAACCACGGACTCGTGCGAAATGTATTTAACGCGAGCTGTGGGAGCATATGTATCGCCGTGCGCGTCACGCTTGAGAAATTCACGCTAAGTACGTATGTTACAGTCGCGTTACATGGATCGCCGTTAGAAACACTCAGTGCGTGAGCACCGAATGCCTAAATTAAATTTGTCGAGATGCTACGTTATTGTCCTTCTAAGCTTTTTTTTCATTCGGTTATATTCTCTACTATACAGATATTTTATAACTTCAAAAGTTCCTATATCATAATTTCTTGTCATCGTACTATTAAGATCTTTGATTTAATGTGTATAGCATCGAATATTTTTTATTATACTTTTTTATGCATCTTTAGTAAATCCTCACCGTTGTGTATTCATTACTATCGGTATAGATCGTAAATCCTTGGTGTCATTGACCTATGGTATCATAAATCGTTGATATAATCATAGATATGCTCGATTATTGGTTAGGTGGAATCAGTAAATCATTGCTATTATATTTTAGATCCTTTGGTAGCACAGATAGATCAAGATACCGCTACTTCTATATAGCATAAATCTTCAATGCCATAGATCTTTGCAGCTTATATTCTCGATATTGTAAATCTTTGGCATCAAAAATTTTGTATCGTAAATTTCTTTATCTCTTGAGTACACAATATTTTGCATAAAATCTTACACTGCTGGGAAATCAGGTTCCCATAATTCAATTCTCCAGCTTCCGTTTTCGATCGATCGACATGTATGTCTCCTTCCACGTTAATGTATCGATATGTGAAAGCGTCACTATTGGAGACACGAAAATGTCGCGTTTAATCCACTTTCGAAATGCGCGTCCCACAGGCGGTAGACATGTAAATCGGACTCTGGAAGTGATTTCACATGCAGCCGCCAGACGATGTTACATTTAATAATCTCATGCGCATGTAAACGAATTTTGCTAGCTCATGAAAGCGTATCCTTTAATCTGTATTCGCCGAGGGCACGTCCTTGATCCTTCAAATAAATACATTTCTTCGTCCTCTCCCGCGGGAAGAATCACGTTTTTATTAGATTTTTTATTAGAAAACTTTCTAATACCTTTCTCTAGCAATTGGCATCGTTAATATCAACATGACACATCGTTGAAGTGATCGTTGATTAACATTGACACGGTTGCGAATTGATTCATTATCTATCGATTTAGACCCTCTTCTTTCATATACACAAAGAATTCTTAAAAGGAATCAATTACATAAATTACTGAGAAACAATTATTGTAAATTAACTTATGGCAAAATGCGTAAATTCTATTGTAGTCTTGTTAAAAATAAAATGATACATTAATTAGTAATTCATTATAAAATACAATTTCCGAATACAGGCTTACCAGTAAACTTTTGAGTGCCAATTCTCAATTTTCAGTTCTGAATTTAATTTTAAATAATTCTTGTCGTAATTAGAAATCTATAAAACATAAAATTATGCAGACATGTGTGAGAAACAACTCATTCGACAAACTGACAGCTTGCAAGAACGTTTGGCGGTCTAGCGTTAAATCGCCTTAGTGGAGCTACAAATGCACGCACGTGTACATTCACATTCACATACACGCAGCCGTCATAATTGACACTTCAAAGTTGCGTTTTTTTTTTTTTTAATAGCGTGCGCCTCTTTCTTTCGCGCTCGCCGGGCCAATTTAAACTCGCGCTCACGTTCGTGCTGGCGCGTCCTTTTAGAGGCTCGAAAAAATTTACGACAACGTCTACGCAGCATTAGCCGGAGTGACAATAAGCGAGGACAATAATCCCGCCGAGTCACGAACGCCCAGTAAGAAACGAGTCACCATATCTTGAGTGCACGGTCGTCGTTTGTGCACTTGCTCTTATTATCGGGTTGTCGCGCATGAAATGTGAGTTTCGCGTCCTCAGATAACCTCGAAAGAAATTAAAATACTGTACATATTCTTCCCCTTGTTTAACTTTGCGAAATTCTGCTTTTAATTAAACGAGTCTTATGTAACAAGACCTAATGAAGGCATCTTTTTATCATTTTTTTATTATTTGTGATATTGATTTCATCAAAACAACATGGTCTATAGATCTATATAATGGAGTAAACGGAGTGATGCTTTTAAAATCATCAACTTTGGTTTTTCATTATCTAGTTAACTTGTGGTTAAACTTAACTTGATATTCCATTCAATGAGCTTCATCCATAACAGATAAAGTCCATTGGATGAAACATCAGGTTAGGTCTGATCACAAGACAACTACATAATAAAAAACCGGACCTCATTGATATAAATCTAAATAATTTCGAGCATGAAATCGTCATTAATTCTTTTGAAATGGCAAATTTATTAATTTACTCTCATATTAGTAAACTTTGATACAACGTTAACAACTATCTTCAGAGGTATGATATTTATCGTCGTAAAGAAATTAATTCATGATAGGCAGTCATCTCCGCCCAAATTTATCGTTCGAGAAATGATAATTTTCAATATTTGTGGCTACGCTGTTCTCTCGATCATTTTAATCCACATAATCCTGTAAATTCAGATTAAGGTTGTCGCGAATATTTTCACATGGCCACTTTGAATGTTGACTTCGTATCAGCTTCGATTCGCTGTTTATCTTCTTGCTGCGTAAATACTGCCACTCGTAAAAGTTATCACGACTCGTTAATCTTCACGAGAAGGATGTCTGTTGTTCCTTTCTCTCGCACGAGAAAAGCCATGATGCACTCTCATCCTAAATATCAATATCCACGCCTATGGCACTTCCTACCACTCTATTTTAGGATAGATACGTCGTATCGCATTCTTGCATAGATATGAAAAAGACAATATAACTGGATGTTTCTTTATAGCCTGTATAATTATTTCAAATAGAGAGAAAAAGAAAGGAAGAAAGAGAAAAAAAGGAACTGCTCCAAAAAGTGCTGAATGAGTGCGATTATTAATCAAAATGTATTGAACTATTTATATAGATTAATACGCACGATATAATTTTCTCTTCTGTATTATATTAAATCTAGTTTTATATATATATTCTTTTAGATGTTTGTTATATATACACGTTAATATAGCGAGCATCACAATGTGATCGTGAAATTTGAATCTTATAAGGTCAAATTTTATCGAGAGTTTCGATAATTTCTTATCGACATGGCTATTCAATACATCATGATGAATTGACAGTGTAATATTGCAACGGTCAAATGTTAGAACGATCTACATCAAAATAATGAAAGACCATAAGTTACAGAAGCTATTTATGTACGAGTCATTTTTGCCTCTCGATTTCAATTAATGTATTACGAAACAGCGATTAATAAAATCATATTAGATGCCTATTATTCGAATTGGAATGTCAAATTTATTAATAAAACGATTGTTGCTTTAACTTTTTTAAAATATGAAACATTCGTATTACAAATTGTTAAAATAATATATTTTTTTAAATCTCTTAATTTTTCAATAGTGAGAAAAAAAACATATTGCTTTTTTATTTTTTAATTTATTTTTACATTCTTAATAATAGATTTTTGCTGCTAATTTGTACTAACAGCAAAAATTCTGATTCGAAAAACTTTGATCTTCTGAAATAGTTATTACTCAAGCTATTCTGAAAGGATCCCCTATATATTAATTTTGTTATTCATCGCTAATTTAATTTCAATTCCTATTATGAGTTCTTGGAGGCCTGCATGAGATTTGAAAACACGTGCTTACTAGAAAGGAAATGTCACAGATGCTAATCGCGCACGAGGTTTCATCTGGAGAACATTTATGATTGTGTTTCCTCCACACGTATCCTGTGTTTATGTCACATTTACGCCACGTTTACGCTAACAGAACGAGTTTCCAAAAGCGGACAATTTCTGCTTCAGGGGCGCAGTATGTGCCCGGCGCCGGGCCCAGCGCCGCACCCCAAGAAAGGATCCGTAGTCTCGAACACGCCCCCACATATCCACCACCGAGAGTCGACAGATACAGGGGTGGTGCGCAGATACAGAAGAGAATGACTCAGAGGGAAGACGTTCTCAAGTTCGAGCAGGGCCGCATTAAGGCCCTGCAAGAAGAACGTCTTCACATCCAGAAGAAGACGTTCACGAAATGGATCAATTCGTTTCTTCTGAAGGTAATGCTTTTAATTGTATATTAAATAATTAAAGATTTACATAAAGGAGGTTGCAAAAGATAAGAATTTATATTCATGGAACATTTATATCTGTCTCAAAAATATTCTTGTATTTAACGGTATTTTTCCGTATTAATTAAGCTTGATGTCCGAAGTTGCTTTCGATGAATAATTTTCTATAATTATAATACCTCTTTGTGTGTATCATCCTTTCAAATTGAATTTTGACTTTTTAGGCGCGCATGGAGGTGGACGATCTATTCACCGATCTGGCAGATGGCAAAAAACTACTGAAACTATTGGAGATCATCTCTGGCGAGCGATTGGCCAAACCCAACAACGGGCGCATGCGAGTTCACAAAATCGAGAACGTGAACAAGTCCTTGGCGTTTCTCCATACCAAGGTAATACATATTCCAGAGAGCATGGCTTGTCTTTTTTCTTTCTTCTTCTCTTTCTCCATCTCGCTCTTTCGAGGTCTCGAGTGTGTGTTTCTCCGGACGTTGCTTACTCTTGAAAACCTCTCGAGTGCGAACCATCAACTGCGCGGTTCGACGTGGTTGCACGTGTTCAGCGCGCGAACAACTTTGTTCGGTGAGGAATAAATAAAGGCCTCGAAAAAGCTTCCAAGTCGGGTGCCGGATAAATTAGCGAGGCAACAAACAGGTCCGTTAAATCACGCTCGTAATTTCTCTGTTGAACCATAGATCGCCGAAACGTACATTTCGATGCAAATGTACTAAAGATAAATACACAATATTAAATTAATCCCAGACTTACATGCAATTTAAATGTATATGGTTGTGGAAATAATAGACGCATAAGATATCAGTATTGCGGTATTAAATACCGATGTCGAAGTCGTCGTAGTGATAAGAATAGATTTGCCGATGACTTGCATACATCGTAATCAAGTATCATCGTATTAACGTAAAGAATCATTTGAATGATTAATCTATACAGCATTTCAACCGTTATTTCCTATCAATCTAGTAGCCCACACACCCATCAGTGCGCGCTGTCTATCGATGAAGCCACAGAAATTCTATAGTCTAGATCTGACAGATTAGAGACCCACAGGGAATCGTTGCGGGCGAGTTTCGCGAACAAGGCGGTTGAAGAAATATGATGTGCGACGCGTCGCTTCCGGTAACACGAGGATCGGGGCCACCGCGTGATTCCTGTTAGTCTCTTTGGAACCGACAAGCCTCCGATACAAACGTCGACGCATCACCGCGCCTGGTCAATGCCTTCACCCGCGCTCGTCTTACATTGTGGCTTCGAGTTTTATACTACTCCTCTCTCGTTCGGTTCCGCGGACTCCTTGGCATATACGCACCGCACGTAGTGAAACTATTATGTCATAAGCCACGAAGCATAAGAGGCCATTCACGAGGAGTTTACACTTACCGGGCTTCGTTGCGACGTACTGATGCTCACCGAAGCGCGCGAGCGAGTTCGAAAAAGAATTCCGCGAAGTACGCGGAATTCCGAGGCGCACAACGGCGTATTTGAGTGTTTGTTTTAGATACCGTAGTGTGTAATTAAATTTAGATAAAATTAGATAATACATTTTTAAGAGAAATAAAGCGAGTCCGAGCGTACAATAACGGTACTCGGCTTTAGTTTAGTAGTAACTATTTCTGTGAACTTCAGCCATTTTCATGCAATTCATAAATGAAATTTATGTTGCTAATGTAGAATTAACCGAAATAGATTGCACGATAATAATTCTTGATGTATGTTATAGCAAAATAATTATTAGCTAATTAACAGCTAATTGAACTTATATATATATAATATATATAAAAATTAGATGTGTGTGTGATAAAATATATATATATTGTATATATATATTTTTACCATATAATTTGCTGCAGCAGCAACAGCATATTATATATAGATGCTTTCCTTATACGCATTGATAAAATGATTGGCTTTACCATCTAATTTGCTGCAGCAAACTAGATGGTAAAATATGGCATAACATTTTTAATTGGCTGTAGTAATTTTTGATTGCAGCAGCCAATTTTTGGTTGCGTTAGCTTATCCGCAATGGCAATCAGTATAGAATTTCGATAGGCTAACACAATCAAAAATTGGCTGCTGCAACCAATTAAAAATGCTATGCTATATTTTATCGTCTAATTTGTTGCAGTAGTCAATCTTTTTTTTTTCAGTGTGCATATAAATTGTGAGATTCCAGATACTCCAACGCGTGATATAGCCTTAACGCGTTATGAAAACATATCTCAGCGGCGAAATGCTCGTGATGCTCGACCGTATACTTTTTACAATGCAAGTACATGTTTTATTGGTACCGCGGTAATATGAACGTAATCGTTAGGCATCGTTATGAAGTCGTGCGTTAAATCGTTGTGTTCGTACAACGGCCGTATGCCGATCGCGTGCGATGAAAAACTCATTGTCCTTCATATATAAGATATCGGGCATGTGATATTATTATTTGTTCAAAGAGAAAATTTCATTTTTCGAGAACCTTCAAGATAATTCACGAAAGTGATCAATTTAAAAAGCGTATTTCTTAATGGTAGTTGTATTGAATCGATGTAATTTATTAATTTATCAAACTTCTATTCTATGTGGCCACAATATAAAATAAAACTTTTAGTGAATTAATATTTTTTAAGAATGATACTTAGACTTTTATCAGAAAAATTATTATGCCACGACAATAAAGATTTAATTTAGGCATGCAAGAGTTCTTCATAACGTTACGAGTTAAAAAAAGGCTCCTAGTCAGATTATTTATGTAAACTATTCGCATAATTTCGGTGGGCGGAATGCGACTGCATTTGTGAGCAGTGATCCATGGCGTTTGCTAAATAATGCATGACGTCGTTTACCACCGTGTCTTGACGAAGACCATCATGGTAGGACGAGCGATGCGTGTTTCCGCGGTGCAACTTTTTGCAACTCCGATCGGCAAAACGAACGGTACATCATTGCGCGTGCGATGCAAAAGACGATTTTCACCGGTTTCTCGTTTCCCCCATTTGGAAGAGAACGGAGGAAAAGCCACGTTTGGATATTCGCTTACTTCTACCTTAACGGTCTTAAACGAGTAAGTCTTCTAGCACGAGCACTTCTCTATTCCGGTATAACTGGCAGAAACTGGTATTTTTACAGCCTATTATAACTTTTATACTTATATTTAATTATAGCGAAAACAAGAATCGCTAATAATGTAGCAACAAGTTTTTTTTTTAGTACAAAACTTTCGTATCTTTCGTGCTTCTTCTTTCAGGAAATAAAGGCGGCTATATCAAAATATAAATTATAAATTCAATATAGACAATAAAACTAAATATAAGATTAATTATAACATCCTGTGTTTTGAAATTATTCTTCATTGAGAACACGTTCCAATTATAGTGATTAAATCTTAAATGAAATATTTGTCAAGTTAAAGTAAAACCCATTTTAAAATTAATTGGAATACAAAGCCTCTATTGCTCGTTCATATCTCTAAAGCTTGATTCACCGAAACATTTTAATTGCCGCCAATAACTCAAGAAACTTGGCGTCGAGGCAACCGTTATTCTTCTCAGTTCGGCCTCTGTAAGGCTCCACGAAAGGAAAGGCGTTTACAAAGCCATTAGACGCGAAAGGATTAAATAAAGGCCACACCGACGACCACGCCCGAACGTATGTCAAATTTGGCTCGTGCATTCGAGTGCCGCGTGAATTGATCACGGTCTTTATCGTACAGTTGTCTTCACGGTGACGATCTCACCTCCCACTGCGGACTCTTCGAAAAAGGACACGAGTTATTTCTGGAGGATGATACCGTCCGTTACGAGCAAACATTCCGCATGTTTTAGCAAATCCTTCCTTAGGCTTTCGCCTAAGGACGCTACCGACGATTTGCTTCCGATATTAAGCAGCAAGTTGAACGTAGCAATCGAGCGAAAATTCATATTTCTTTGAACGATAATTCAGATTCACTCAGAAAACAATTATAAGAGGAAAACCATATCAAAATAATTTATTTAGAACATTCAGTATATTAACTTCAAAATATAAAAGTATCGATAGTTCTTTAAATTTAAACAGTTTCTCTTATGACATGTTTACATAGAAAGGAAATTTTCGCGACACGACAAAATCGATAATATAAAACAATCATGTTTTCGCGCATCAAAAGCATGCTGAAAAGTCACGATCTAGCACGAGTTTCTTCCTGCCTATCGCACGGTGTTGTAATAATGATGCTAGTTGGTAGGAACGTAAGACAACGATTTAAATAATGAGCTCTCATTATGGCAGAATTAGCCGCATCGTGCCCGTAATACTTGCATAAATTTTCCTTCAGGTGGAAGGAATTCCTAAGAATTCGTATTATACCAACATAAAATCAATATGATTCTTTTTAAATCAATATTTTTATGTAAGAGTGAAGAAACGAGTAAGTTTCAAATATAATAAAAAATACAGCTATGTAATTCATATATTCAGCTTACTATTGTAATATAAAACGTATATTAGATCAAGGAGTGCAAAATTATTGAGAGAATACTCGATTGATGTCTGATAGACACTATATGATATTTAACATTATTTATCATATTGCAAAGTATAGAATTGTCTTGCCGAAAGAATGAGTATCCAGAACACAATGAAGAGAATGCAGAGGTTTAGAATTCTTGAAACTTGCCAGAAATGCGGCGTCTCGCCCAGAGGCTCTTCTCAGGCACCCACAAGAATCCAACCCCGAAGTAATTAGGAAGGTATCCATTGAACGTTCTGAGAAGAAGCGATCTCTCTTGCGTGAAGCTGTCGGTGCGCGTTGCACGCACATCTAGGAAATCTGTGCGAAGAAGTGGAAAGAACAGAGATGAAATAGAGACAGAAAAAAGAAGAGAAGAAAAAGAAGAAAGAGAAGGCAGATCGAACTCCTTCCGATTTCCTGCTCCTTTTCGGCTAATTTTCGGCGATCCTTAAGTCAAAAAGCAGAACAAGAAGATACAAGTAAGTACGACGAGGAAGACTGAGTCCGATAAAAGCCGAGGAGGAAGAACGGGAAAGAGCGCGGGGTAGTCGATGGAAGATGAGGGAGGAAGAAGGACGAGAGGTGGAGGTCAGCGACCGGCAGGCAAAACTTGCTAGACCGTCGCGAAGCCTTGCAGATGTGAAATGAAACCAAACAGTTCCGTCATAGACAGAAGAACGTAATAAGAGGGAGTACGTAAAAATACCTATTTAGATAAAGAATACGAAGTTGTGAAAAAAAAAGAGCGAAGCAATATAGCTAGAGAGTGAATCGTGATTTTGATAACAATTTCTTCCACCGTTTGTTCGTTATTAAAATGATTGACTCTATTGTATGAATTGATAATAATTAGTATGTTTTGTTATATTTTTATTAATGTGCGTCGAAATA